GGAGAGAGAGGGGACTGGCGATGGGAGGGAGGAGAGAAACCTCCAACTCCCGGTACCTCAGGCGGCTTATGGCCGCCGGTAACCCAGTCGCTGCTGCTGCTGCTCCGCTCGCTGCTGCTCCGCTCGGTGCTGCTGCGCTCGGTGCTGCTGCGCTAATCGCTGCGCTGCCTGCTCCTCGCTCCTGTGCTAAACATAGCACTCCAACGGCACACTGGTGCCGACCTTACCGCACCGTGGTATACTGGTGGGTCGATCCCCTGAGTGAGGCCGGACCGGTTCTTTATACCGGTGGGCAGAGGCCGGCCTCACTGCTGCGAGGCCTGGCTGTGCCCTGAACCGTCCAGATGGACGGKTCAGCCCCAACCGGCGGGCGGCAGCCTCAAGAGCGCCGCCAGGCCCAAACGGTAATGTCGTTTGGGCCTGCCTGTCGGGTCTGGTCCAAGGTGAGGCCTTTATGGCCTGTAGTACCCCATGGTCGGGCCTTTAGGCCCTGATGTGTCCCTCTAGCCCTAAGTCGGGTCCGGTAGGAGCCGTGTGGCGTCGAAGATGTAACATCCAGCATACGTCCCTCGGTATTGTGGCATTCCCCTAGGACTAAATTGCGAATCTCTTCACTGTTTGGGATGCACAATCTGTCGTGCACATGTCTTCTCAAACAGCAGTCGCTGGGTCACTCTATAATCCGGAACTTCATGTGGTGTTGTTTGCACCTTAATCAACTGACTATAGACTGGATCATAAGTGTAGGCGGACCTAATCTTCTCTTGTAATTCGGCGCTTGCATCCAAATATGTTTCAATGGCACCGAAGAAATCTGCTCGCCTACTTAGCGCATCGGCGACAACGTTATACTTCCCTTTGTTTGGCTTCAGTTCGAAATCAAACTGATCCATCTCCCGCCCACCTCGTCAACTTATGTGTCATTCTAGCTTGGGTCTTCAGCCAGCGAAGTGTCTCATGGTCTGAATACACTGAAATGTTGACCTAGGAGATAGTGTCGCCAATGATTTAAGTCTTCTCTAAGAGCAAACAACTCTCTATCATACGTAGAAGCGGCGACCTTCTCACTAGGTATTCTACAGGACATGAACTCGACAGGTCTGTACCCATTTCCATCATTCTGTTGGAGTACAACACATTTTCTGTATTGACTAGTGTAAGTGGTAATGATAAACGGCAAGGATGGATCAGCGATCTTCAGATCCGGGTACTATATCAAGCACTTCTTTAGACTCTTAGAGACTGAAGTACAGCCTTTATCCCATCTCCAGATTGTCTCTTTCCTCAACAGCCTATTTAACGGAGCAACTATTACAGTAAAGTTCCGTACAAACTTGCAATAATTGTTGGCCAGAGCAAGGAATGATCGTAGTTCCGTACCAATCTCTGATTGCTGCTATTTTGGCGTCTTCCGGCTTAATTCCATCTCCATCCAACGCATGTCCCAAATACAAAACCTGACGCTTGGCCCATTAACACTTCTTTGGGTGCAACTTAAATTGTGCGTCGCGCAACTTACGTAGCACTAAATGTAAGTGTTGTTGGTGTTCCTCTAATGACTTGCTAAACATCAAAATATCATCCAAATATACAACAACAAATCTATCTAACCAATCGCGCATATCGAGTTCATTCATGCATTGCTGGAAGGTAGCACCGAAACAACATGACCACAAACTCGTAATGGCCATATCGAGTTCTAAAGGCCGTCTTTTGCTGATCCTCGGGCAACACCTCAATATGATGGTAACCCGACTTCAAGTCTATCTTCGAGAAGAATTTGCAACCCGACACTCTATCCAGAAGGTCATCTATCCGCGGTAATGGGTCTGCATTCTTAATGGTAATCGCATTGAGTCCTCGATAGTCTACACACATAGTAGATCACCTTCTTTCTTCGGCACGAACAAGATCGGTGCACCATATGGCAAAGAACTTGGCTTAATTCACCCTTTCTCTATGAACTCATCCAATTGTCTGCGTAATTCATCGAGCTCCTTGGGAGACATACGATAGATGGGGCCCTTGGGAATTCGGCTACCGAGTTCTACGTCTATCCGGTGCTTTTGGTCTCCCTTTCCATAACTCCACTAAGGCCTCTCCCTCATCAGCGAACTTGACTTCATACTTCGAGCGGTATGGGCACTTTATCCTTTTTCCCTTCACTAACTGGCCTCACATAAGCAACAAACACTTGTTTGTGGAGGTCATTCCTGACCACGTGCATAGCGAACACGGGGGCGCTCATACAACAAAGGGACAAACTACTTTCTACGCCGGATGCATGAAACAAACACAACTTCTTTTTCCCACCTGTGGGACTGGGCAGCCAACACTAAGAGTGCTCGCCCATCTTAACGTCAGCGTATGCGGCATTGCCCCAGTCTATTCCTAATATCATATGAAAAGGAAGGCTATCCTCCACTAAGAGTGTCAGGGAGTGCATAACTTTCTCTACTTTGCCCCTTGCGTCCAACCGGAAGTATGCATTGACCCCTTCAACATACTCGCATACTATCATCTCTATATTATCGACCAATTTACTAATGACCGGCTCATCGAGCTTTTTCACCTTCATTCCTCGGTGCATCTTCTGCAACCCTCTTCTACTAATATAACTACACGTCGACCCAGTCTACTAACGCGCCTATCCTTTCTCTACACACTTCTACATCTGCTATTATTAGCTGCCCCTTCGACTTCTTCATTTCGGCCCAGGCGCAGCGGCAAGTGATCAATTTGTCACCAATGCTTGCGAGGGAACCACCTAGAGAGGTCCTAGCACAAGCAACCTCTGGACAGCTAGCTAGGTGGGGCCCGACTACACTCTCTGCCAATGGGATCTTCGGACAGGAGGGTGCCTGCTCAGCGCGCGCTTCTATCTTCCTGTCCAAGTCCGAAGTTCCCATAGAGGTGACTGAAACCTCTACTGGCTGCTCCCTTTTGGGTACCGATATTTGATATGAAAAGGAATAATGTGGTCGGGGTCACCACACTTGAAACATTGCCCGGCCTTGCGACAATCATCCTATACATTTTCGTTTATTCCCATCTCCACCCAATGTGCCCTCAGCTATTCCCGGATGCCCTGGGTACGACCGCCAAGTCCTACCTCCACCACCATCATTTCCTTCCTGATTCCCCTCGATCTCCATCCTCAGTTGAAAATGCTCCTCATGTTAGTTTCTCCACCTGTCTTCATGAATCATCTTCATCATCACCGTCACCGGAGCAGATCTACTTGGAACAGTGGTGTCAACACAATTTTCGCAACTCGCGAGAGCACCTGTACACGTCTGCCTACGAATGTGGTTAAGTACGTGCGGAGAGAGAGAGAGAGAGAGAGAGAGAGAGAGAGAGAGAGAGAGAGAGAGAGAGAGAGAGAGAGAGAGAGAGAGAGAGAGAGAGAGANGAGAGAGAGAGAGAGAGAGAGAGAGAGAGAGAGAGAGAGAGAGAGAGAGAGAGAGAGAGAGAGAGAGAGAGAGAGAGATTGGTCTCTTCACTCCCTTGCGCTGCCCGCCATCTGACGGCCACTGCCCAGCCAGTTGGCACCCCCCACGGCCTCTCCATGCCGCGCCTGCTCTCCTTTTTTCCCCCGCTGCATCCCTTTTTTTCCCGCTCCCGGGCCTGCCGTTTTGGGCCTGACGTTTGTTTTCCCAAGACGGGAAGCGGTGTCTCGCGCGTGGGACTATTATGCGAGACCTGCTATTTCCTGTAGGAGTATTGTTGAGATAAGGAGGTTGAGGGTGATGGTTGGAGGCAGTTTTGACATTGGTCTTTGCTGGTGTGCATCTTCTTCGTCTTCGATTCTTACTTCTCCTTTTTCCTTTGTCTATTTCTTTTTCTGAGTTCTTTCATTTCAGTTGCAATTGAATGACATTGTCTTTCTTTGTGTTATTGCCCTTCAAGATAGCCAGGATCATAACACTAGTGATAATTCTTGCACACACGTGCTTATGCTATACCCTAACACTATCCTGGAGATTCTTTCCTAAGTGAAATATGGGGTAGTCAGGATCTGTGATGAGGCTGAAGATGAGCATTCTCCGTTTGCTGATCACTTGAGCGGGTTTAGGTCCCTGACAGGGGCTGTTATGGGTGACTGCGCCTGGATAAACCCTGTTTAAATGAAGTGACTAGAAATGCCCCTCTGCAATCTTGTCATACGTGAGAGGCCATGAGAAGCTGTTAGGACAATATGTATACTTGTGCAGGTCAACTTTAGCTAAGAGCAAGGTATTTCATTGATTTAGTACAGCACATGTGACAGGGAATAATAAAACTGGACATGGTTTTGCAACATGGTCTGATGATTTAGGTGTGGGTTGCACGTGTTCCTTGTCCACAGTGTCATATACGAGAGGCTATCAGTGGCTGGGCGAAAATACGCTTCTGTCACTGCCGAACATCTCAAGCAGTATGGGGAGGCTGGACTTCGGACACTGGCACTTTCATATCGAATTCTTTCCGAAGAGGAGTATCACAACTGGAATACAACATTTCAGGAGGCAAAGACAACAGTTGGCCCTGAAAGAGACGCCAAGGTTGATGAGGCAGCTGAGGCAATTGAACGAGAGCTGTTGCTTGTTGGGGCAACTGGGGTCGAAGACAAACTGCAGCCTGGAGTAAGTTTGTCGGCTTTCGTATTGGTGGCAGCCTGTATTCCCGCAGTGAAATTATTGATGCTTGGTTAGAAGTTTACCAAAGGCAAGGTGGTTATCACACAAGCAAGCGCAAAAGGTACTTCGATAACCTGTGCAAGTAGAATTGGACAACACAAATTTAGAAATTAGTTGTTGCCGATCTCTTTCAGCTTGTGGTTATCCAAAGCTGCCAATTATTTGCAAAACAAGAAGCAAATGAAATTGATGCCAGCCTACCTTTGTCAGGAACCACACCCAGCAACCACCTGCAAGATGGAAAACCGCTCTTCTAGCGGGCTTTTGAACCATCGTCGAAGGGTGTCAGATTACTGTGAAAACATGTAGGTAGAAGGCTGCTGAAGCTGAAGTGTAGAGCCCCTGAAGAAATGTAGAAGTGTCCTCACCCTCTCTTGCTCTCTCATGGGGATGATCATGATCGGTGAGAGCAGAGCGTTGAACCACTGATGCACCCCAGGTGTCTCGGAGAAGTAGGCCGGCTATTGCCGGCTGCACACGCGGAGGGTATGACACCAATTTCTTGGACTCGCCCATCATCACCTCATCTCTCATGTCTGTCTCTTGAGCACTACTCGACTTTTCTAGCACTGGGCTGCCCCAACTAGTGCAGCATGGTGGCCTATGAATGACGAAGGAACTCCCTCACAGCTCTACTAGGCCGGCCTCTTCTACATGCTAATGGCAGCTCGACCAACCAGGTTGGCCTCCCAGCTCTGCCGTCTGACCTCATCAAGGTCCTGCGGCCCAGGTGGGAGGCCATGTGACCGAACTCAGGCCTAGGCCTGGGAATGTGATGCGTGGGTCCCCACTCAGATCCAGGCGCTCCCTGACTGCCTCTGCAGAAGATGTCGGTATGTGCGACTGACTTCACTCATTCATCAAAATGACAGAAGTGACAAAAACACAGCTGAGTCATTGATTGACACATGCATTCAGAAAGTACCGGAGACAACGGAGATTGGGGAGTAGACAGACACGCATGACACATAAAGCATAGAGAATGCCGAGACAGACTATGCAAAAGTGGAGTCAAAGTCAAAGCTGAATCCTGAATGCGACATTGTTATAAAAATGAATGTGAAGTAAACAATGCCGGATGAATCAGGTTGGCGCGTGACCCGACCGATTCAGCTGGTTTATAATACCAGCACTCCTCAGGGAATTTTGGTCGGTAAGGAGCAGGACATTAGAATCCTATTTAAAGTCCTTGAATCACAAGTCACCCCTTCAAACCCTTCTAGAGTATTGGAAGTTCACCGTACTCGACTCACCAAGACTACCAATCAGGAAAAACTCGTCATCCAAACCATCAGTTCGAGACTCAATAACAGACCAGACGCTTAAGTAGTTCCGAACAACACGCCTTCTCAAAGTACCATATGTACAGTGACAGGTTTGAAGACAAAGCAGCATAAAAACAAATGACAAAACAGAAGAAAATAAACAACGAAAAACAAAAAAGAGGAAAGAAAAAGTAACACAGTGGTGTCTGGATCAAACCTCAGCTAACTCCTAACCAGGTAGGCAACAGCAGGCCCATACCTGGGACCGACCTCGGACCTCATAACAACCGTCCGTGGTGATCCATCGTCCCACCCAGTAAGCACCAAGACTATGTAACCGTTTGAATGCCGTGAACGCGCGTTCGCGTTCAAATTCGCGTTTGAACACGGATTTAAATTTGCGTTCAAAATTGAACGCCGTTCAATTTTTTTTTTTTTTTTTTAAAGAGCCTCTCTCTCTCTCTCT